TACTCAGTAGGCACTTCCATACTAATTGAAGAATGGTCACTTCAGTTGTACCATAACTGTCCTTGCATAAGGTTTATATTCAGGTTAAAAATGGTTTAGTTTGTTGGAACAAATTTTTGAAATTTGAAGAGCCAGTAGCTGAAATCTCTTGAAAAAAAGCTAATAGGTGAAGGAGTACCTTTTAGTTGAAATCTTTTTTGTTTGTTTGTTTGTTTTTGACATCGGGCATGTGTGCTTGCTGGAGGGAGAGAGGGGAAAAGTGAAAAGTCACCCCCCGGGAAGAATGACTATGCTGCATTCCCTTCTTCTTCATTCTCTTCTTGGGATTTTGAGCACACATGCACATACACCGCGCATGTTTATCAAGCTGCTGGGTCTGGAACTTGAACTTGAACTGCAGGATTGGCCAGTGGGGTCCAGTGCCTTAAACTCCATGCCACTAGGTCTTAACAATCCCCCCGCCCCCTTTTTTTTTCTTTTAAGAGAGATTTTTCCTATAGGGCATGTGTGCTTGTCAGAAAGACAGAGACAGAAAGTGAGAAATCATCTCCTGGGGGATGGCCACTCCGCAGTCCCTTCTCCATGTTTCTCGCAGGATTTTGGGCACACATACAAATGCTCCTGGATTAAGTTTCAACCCTCCAGGTCTGAGAATCAGACCGCAGTAGGCATGTGGGAGTCTAGTGACATAACCATTAAGCCATCTGTTGGTCTCTGTCTAGAAGGGAAAACAGGGAGGGATATTTACTAAAATTTTTTAAAAAATACACACACACATACACAGAAATATATAAGAAATTATTTAACAAAATGTGTATACATACACATATATGTGTGTATATGTGTGTATGTATGTGTATATATACAAAATACGTATACATATATGTGTATATATGTATACATACATATATGTATACATACATATATATACACACACACACCATACCAAAAAAACCCCCTAACATACACACATACCCACATAGCCACTCCTACACATACATTTTATCCATACCATTTCCTCCCACTCCCAAAGAAAGACCAAAGCTCTTTGCTATTTCCTAAGGCTACATATTTAAATCGTTGTAACTGCAGAGCTGCCTTTAACTTTGGCTTTTACTTCACTTGGATAAATGATTCCAAATGGAATATTTTGCCTTGGGTTTGAACTCATTGCATATGTATCCTCCTTCCCCCTTTCAAACTGCCCCCATGGTTGCACAAAGATATTTGTTAACAGTTGCTGCATGCTTAGTCCTGTCTAGGATAGTGTGGAGTTGGATAGGATTTGTCCAGAAGTCTGTTTGGGTTTTCTACCTGGGTTCTAATACCCTTCTACCATTGACTTATTCAGTGACCTTTGGCAAGTCCCTTTGTCTTATTTAGCTTTAGTTCCCTCATCTGCAGCCTAAAGGAATTGAACTAATTATTTTTAAACTTCTTGAGGGTTCCAGAACCTTTTGAAAATCTAATAAAAAGCCATGAACCTTCTTCCCCAGAGAATATCCACGTTTACAGCATTCATACTTAATTTCATGCCATTTACAGATCCCCTGGAGATTTGTCTGTGGACTCTTAGTAATTACTCAGATAAATCATAATCTTTGATGTAGATCAGGTGTCAGCAAATTAGTGGCATCAGTTTCTGACCTGTTTTTTAATGACTTATGAATATAAGAATGGCTTTTACATTTTTAAAAGGATGTAAAAACAAAATAAAAAGTAAAGAATAATATGAAACAGACCATTTGTGGCTCGCAGACCTGAAAATATTTGCCAGCCTCTGGCCTAGGTGACTGTGACTGCCAACATCCTTCTTAGCCTAGTTATGTTTACAGTTCTTTTTTTTTTTTTTCTTTTTTTTGGGAGAGGTTTTTGCTATAGGGCGCATGCGCTCACCAGACAGAGAGACAGAGAGAGAGAAAGCGAGAAATCACCCCCCAGGGGGGATGGCCACGCCACAATCCTTTCTCCTCCATTCTCCTCTCGAGATCTTGGGCACACATGCACACGCGCCCGGCATGAGTTTAAGCCACCGGGTTCAGGACGCGAACCACAGTCGACTACATGGGAGTTCAGCGACACAGCCATTATGCTAACTGCTGGTCCCTGTTTACAGTTCTTCAGCTCTCCCTGGTGGATAATTGCTAGTACTTAGTTTTCTTTTTAGGTCCAGATATTTTTTTTCTATTAAGATTTCTGGATTTCAGAATGTGCATGGTTGGTTTAAATGGTTGCTTTTGTTTTAAGATGTTTTTCTTTTGATCACAAATTAGGTAATAATTCTCATAGGAAATAAAGCAGATTTGGAGGCACAGAGAGATGTTACATATGAAGAAGCCAAACAGTTTGCTGAAGAAAACGGTGGGTTTCTTTAAGATTTAATGGTTACACTTGGGAGAATTTCTAAGGAAAGGTGGGATTTTGGTATTGTAGATTATTTGACAATTAAATGATGCAAACTGCTCAGAAATCTGGAGAATGAAGAAATAACAGTGTGTTTCTATGAGATTCGTGTTGGGAGTAGTATAATTATCTAATGACAAATCTCAAACTCATACTCTTTAAAAATACCATGGTAGAACAAAAAAGCATGAGAAACTTTTATTCAGATGTTACTGAAGAGAATGCTCTTGTGAATTAGTTTGAAATGTCTTAATTATAGTACGACTTTCATTTTTTAGGCTTATTGTTCCTTGAAGCAAGTGCAAAAACGTAAGTATGGCTAAAATGTAGATCATGTTTCAGTTGAAAAATATTCAAATTTCTCAAAATAGAATTACATATATGAAAAGTATATGATGCCTATATACCTATTTCATATATATGTATAATGGGTCAGAAAAGTCATGACACATTTTTGCATAGAAAAACATAAAAATACATTATGACTTTTCCAACAACCCAGAATATACACATATAATGTAAAACGTTAATTCTTATTGCAGGGAGAACAGTAAGCAAACATCCTTTTCTGTTTTGTATTGTTAAAATAAGATTGTTTCTTTACTTAACGTGTTATCCCTTGACCATGCCCATTGGTGTAATCCAGGTTAATAAATGAAACTGTGTTTACATTTCAGAAGTGTTTGACTTTCACAACTGGGGTTGCATTTGGCATCTCAGACCTATACTTCACCAACTTGATCATATACCACTTCTGATCACATTAAAACATGGTGTAAAGAGATAGTGTCTAATCAGAAGCATAATAATCATTTTCGAATTGTTTTTCCATATCTATTTTGTACACTGGTACTCGCACCACAGTTCATTTATTAGGCCAGAAATTCTTGTTGATGGTGAGAAGAGGCTAACTCATTTTTGTTCAGTCTTGTCTCTTCTAGTCTCAGGAGAGTTGAAGTGTGAACATGGCTAAGCATGGCTATGTAAGGTCAGCTTCACACCATAAAAATAGCACATTTTCTGTTTTGCTGATCAGACCATATAAATCCTAGAATTCTGTTCAGCTTGATTGGAGGGATTTCATTCCTTTTTGGAGTACCCACTGTATCACAGAAATGGCTTATCTCAACTCTTATGCTGTATATTAACATACAACATTCTTAGTGATTATCCGAATAGGGTTTGTAGAAATGGCTCTTAGTGCCATGTTTCTGTGCTTTCCACACACACACACACACACACAAACATTTTCCAGTGTTATTCTCTTAGCTCGGTCTTTTAAAAATATTTTATTAGATGATCATGACTAAGTTGAAGATATCATTGACTAAAAGGTTAGCAAAAGGTCTAGTGTATAATGTCTCATCATTTGCAGAAAGCTATGGTTCGCAAATAAAGTTATCCATTGCCCTTTAGGGGAGAGAACGTAGAAGATGCTTTCCTGGAAGCTGCCAAGAAAATCTATCAGAATATTCAGGACGGAAGCCTGGATCTGAATGCTGCTGAGTCTGGTGTACAACACAAACCCTCAGCCCCGCAGGGAGGCCGGCTAACCAGTGAACCCCAACCCCAGAGAGAAGGCTGTGGCTGCTAGTGACCTCTTTGCGTGGCCCTTCATTTGACCTTTCACCTCTGTCTGTTGGAGGCAGTACTTTTTACTGCCTTGTTGTCTTCTGTACATCTTACTGGGTTTAATTAAAAAAAAAAAACATAAAAAACAAAACTCTGTTGTAAAAAACAGTTTAACACAATACTAAACTGCTAAACAACTAGATGTAATCAGGTTATCAAAGGCAAGTAGAGTAACAAATCTCTCCTGCATGGTAAATCTAGACTTTTTTTCCCCCCTTGATTGTCCTTGTGATAGGTATGTCACCAATATATGATTTAAACTGAGCACTGATGCTGGACTCCATGATTTCTATCCTCCCTTCTCGGCAAGGCTTTGTCTCACTGTACGGTTTAATTTGGTGATATCTTAAGCCTTTCTCCCCATCTTTAACTGTTCAAGTATGTCTGTTGTAACCAATAAGTTTATTGCTGTGAAATGACTTCTGATGGTAGACAAGGGGTTCTATAACTGCTTTTCATTTTTTGTTGTTGTTGGATAAGTTCCCTGTTGTGTGGGTGGCAACTTTCTTGATGAGGTTCGCGTCTGTCTTAGCCTTGCACAGGGAAAATATCCTTTTCTCTTTTCTCTTGTGCTTAATAGCTTTATTTTATTTTTTTTTATATACCATTTTATCCTTTTCTCTTTAACAGAAAGTAAATATGTATAAAATTTGAAGGAACCGAACTAACAATACATCCTGTGTATATTATTTTAATGAAGAAAATAAATTGATTACTGGCATTGGAACAGTATAAAATACCAGTTTGTACAGTATGACCTATATGTGACCATGTTACTCCCTTCCATTTCACACAAGAAAATAGACACAACTGCAGTTCACAGTTAATACCGGCTCCACCCCTGGTGCTGGCAGTGTTTGGGGACATTGTGCGGGAAAGAGCTCCTAGCAGCAGAGGATGAACACTAGCAGATTCTGTTCCATCTTGGCACTGTGGCTTACCTGCTGATTTTCTTAACTGTTCTTGTGCAATCAACAATGTGCTAACCTGCTTTTCTCTTTTTGTAAACGTTTTGCATTACAGGCTGCATTCTTGCCTTACTGTATAGAAAAAGAAAAAAGGCTGGGTTTATTATTGCACATTTTAAGCTTTTATACCTTTATCTTCTTGCAATGGTCAGATTCTGAACCAAACAGCCAGAACCGCAGGTCTGCTGTTAAGGGATTTTAAATTGTGCATTTTTAACACTACAGTGAAATAATTTATCATTTGTGTTTATAGTATGAGGGGCTATTTTATGTCATGTTGGCATATGCTGTTTTGTAAAAGGGAAAGTTGTTTCTATTGGTATTTCAGTGTGTGTGTGCTGACACAAAGTAAGTTACTACTTTGCACTAGGTGGTTTGGCCACTGAAAAAATACTGTATCGCAAGAAAGTCTCCTTTATACAACAAACATGTTTTACTAAGTTCTTCACTTCTGTTGATTGATTTCTAATTGAGTTTATAGTTCAGTGGCTGGGAATGGAGAAATAATTTGAAGTAGGATAGGTAAACTTGAGCACATTATGTAAAATGCACTCGCTCAACTGCTGTGTTTAAAATACACATTTGAAATCCCTCTTTACAGACACTAACGTGAAAGTACATCTTTCTGGGTTGTAAACGTGGTAGTACCGGAGTATTGTATAGTCATTGTTAAATAAAAGCCAAAACTGGAATGTGCAGAAAATAGGATTTGGTTAATTTGTGGACTCATCTTTATTTTCGTCTTTGTTTAACTTTTTAAATAAGATTTCCTGGAGTCGATTGGTATATTCTGTTAAAGACTTACAGTGATCCATTTTGCTTACACTGTTGCATCACAAGGGATCTGCCCAGGGACCATGACCTGCTGGTGTGTGTATGTACTTACAAAACAAAACAAACCACCCATCAGGATATAAGGTAGCAATCACAAACTAGAGACTGCGGCTTGTTTTAGGTGCAATACCCTGATTCCCAAAGTTAGTTACAGTGGGTCTTAATTGTTTTTGTGACAGATGGATTTATTCAGACTGCTGTACTCTTCATTTGATGTAACAAAATGCTATTAATCTAAATATTTGTAAATAAAGTACCTGTATCTAGATTAAATTAAAATCAGTTGCATTATTTTCTGGGCTGTGATAGGATTTATTTTCTTGAGGTGAACAATCACTTAGTCACTCTATTGCCGAACTTATTTGTTGTATAGCAGGAGGTCTGCACACATAGCATATAAAAAGTCACTAAGAACTGCATTATAATTTTATCATTGTGCTTGCATCATCGCTTAACAGTGTGCTTTCAGCCGGCCCTTTTCACCGAGAGATCAACATATTGGTGGCTGATAGTTCTCTCCCTTGACTTGGGGCCAGATTCTATTATTTGCGTGTGTAATCCCCTATAAGTAAATTTGGGTGCTCAAAAAATATAGGAGCAACTGTCATACTGTACCATCTGTATGTCAGACACTGGGCAGTACACTTTTGAGAGAATGTGAAATTCTTTCCATTTTTAATCCACAAGTGTTTACAGCTTGTGCAGGTTACCTGTGCTTCTCTGGGTTACTGGCTGCCCTCACACCTAAGAGGAGGTCCTCCAATGAGTATATTGGTGCTCAGTGCTACTTATGCTTTAGATATTCCAGTACAATGTTGAAGAATTTTTCATGGATAATAAAGTATTTGATGTAGTAACTTTGATTTTTCTTTGTGGGTTCGGTGGTGGTGTGTATATAATACTAGAGATGTTGTTAAATTATTTTTGATAACTTCTGTCTTTTTAAATGATTTTTCTTTTTTAATGTCAGTTCATTCCTTTTAAGCAAAAGACCAAATCGTTACCCTTCAGTCCTGTTCATTGTGAGCAAACAGAAAAGGTTTATGTGATAGTTTAGAAGGTATTTTACCCTCTGGGCCAGCAGATGGCATGGATGTTAAGGCACTGGATCCCACATAGCTTGTTTCACATTTGAGTCCTGGAATCAGTGGCTTGAGAATCACACTGGCCAGGACCAGCAGTTAGCATAATGGCTATGTCGCTGGACTCCCACGTAGT